ACACACACACACACACACACACACACACACACACACACACACACACACACACACAGTAAAACACTCAAATCAGCAGTTTTGATATAATGCATGGTGTCAAGCATTGACTGTATTATTAGAACTCTTATAAAACAATGTAAAGGTGTGGTCTGTGGTCAGTAGATGGTGTAATGATGGCCGGTTGGAATCGCTGTGTAGCGGCTCGCGGTCGTGTCGAGTCTGTTAGTCGTCGTCTGAGTCCTCGTCAGCGTCTCTGCGGCGCGGCGTCGAGCAGCGGATGGAGCTCAGCAGCTGATCCTGGATCTGTTTCCGGGGGTTTTCCTCCAGATCTGTCTTAATCGCTCCAGATTCAGACAAACGCCACTCCAGCTCTGAAACACACCAGCGCTCATTACACACATCAAACACACAAAAATAGATACCTTCTTTCTTTTCGGAGCCACACCGTCAACTACAGTAATCTGCATGAAGATTTGATTATATGTGGATCAAAGACGTTAAGATGTCCGCATCAAAAGAAATTAACAAAAGTGATTATATGTCCACAGAAAGCACATTAAATGTTAATAAAGTATCTACTTTTAAGGTTTCAAATTAGTTTTTGGAGAATAAAATGTTACAATTTGGTTGAAATAATGTTACACTGTCATTCAGTGTAACACTTATAGTTATGTAACAATTCAGACAACATGCTTATTCTGACCTGTACATATTAAAATATATAAAAGAATAAGTGAGCATATTAAATTCTATTGGGTTTTAAATTAGTAAAAAATTCTTACTGACAAATGGGCAAAAGCTAGGATAGTGGCACATTTAAAAAATGTAAAATTACAACTAATTAGTGTTTGGGGAGAAAGTAATTAGTCATAAATGGATTTTTGTTGTAAATATGCCTGACAAGATTGTCACACTGAATGACGTTTTAGTGGCTCTCTTCTGTAAATCGGGAAAATCTATCATATATTTTTTGCTCAGAAAAACAAAAACAAAAATACAATTACGTGAAACAGAAAACTTTTGAATTTTTGGGGGGGGAAAAACAACAATTTAAAGCAGTATTACACTTACTGTTTTTATGCTTAAACCCTTTTTCGTCTTTGACCCGTGTAATAAATGTAATTATCCACAAATGTAAAAGCGCACCACAAAAAAACAAAAACAAATTTTTTTACTCATTTTGAAATAAATAAATAAAGAGCTGCATAAAGATTGATTTACACAAATTTAATAAATTACTTCTTATAAGAAAATATATTCCTTATTCACAGATCTATCAGAGATGCATGTAAAATTCATAATTATATATGACCAGCTTAATAATTTATATATAAATCTAATAAAATAAAGTAAAGATAAAATCTAAATAGGCAAAAAAAGCCTACTTTTACTCATTTTAAAGTACGTTTTCGGAATCGTCTGATAATTGTTTAAAACCTAAACATCGTCCGGATATGATAAATGATGGTGATTAGATCCGGTGTTTTGGATCGCCATATTTAATCTGAGAATGCAGAATTTACAGCTCTTTTGCTTTAGACCATCTATTAATGTTAAATCTTCAAATAAAATGTTTAGGTTAATAATGCATCTGTCTGGGAAAAAAATGCAGTGATTGATTTATAGTTGTTTTCAAAGCTTTCAATGCACTCTCATTATAAAATAACTGCATTATTGTTTATTTTATTCTAACAAGTAAGTTTCTGTAAAAAACTAGCCAAAATTAAAAATTATTTGTTTATAATCTCTGCACAGGAGAGATTTGGTGTTGTTTCCAAACAAAAGGAAATACATAACTTACGTATGTGTGTATATATATATATATATATATATATACAGTGGGTACGGAAAGTATTCAGACCCCCTTAAATTTTTCACTCTTTGTTATATTGCAGCCATTTGCTAAAATCATTTAAGTTAATTTTTTTTCCTCATTAATGTACACACAGCACCCCATATTGACAGAAAAACACAGAATCGTTGACATTTTTGCAGATTTATT